ATTCTGTTCTGTTCTATTCTGTTCTATTATGTTCTATTCTGTTCTATTCTATTTTGTTCTATTCTGTTTGGTTCTATTCTGTTCTATTCTATTTTGTTCTATTCTGTTTGGTTCTATTCTGTTCTATTCTATTATGTTCGATTCTGTTCTGTTCGGTTCAATTCTATTCTGTTCGGTTCGGTTCTATTCTGTTCTATTCTATTCTGTTCTGTTCTATTCTATTATGTTCTATTCTGTTCTATTCTATTTTGCTCTATTCTATTTGGTTCTATTCTGTTCTATTCTATTCTGTTCTATTCTGTTCTGTTCTATTCTATTCTATTCTTTTCTGTTCTATTCTATTCTGTTCTGTTCTGTTTTATTCTATTCGATTCTTAAACAGTTAAACTGAACCTTTTCTGGTTTTAGATTCAGTTTAAACAGGTTCTTTATTAAACTCTGCTTTATTCTTTAGATTTTGTCATTTTTTAGACTTGATTGGTTTTTTTTTTCATTTATTTCTTTAAAAGGACAAATGAATCAATATTTCTGTTTCAGCACAATAAATGTTAGAAGAAACTCAAATGTTAATTTTCAGGCAGAGAAAATAAATAAAAACAAATTGAATAAATTATTAAATAAATCACAGTAAAAAAGGTTTTATTTTATGAATAATTGTTTTTATTTGTTATAAACCATCTGTTTGATGTAAATATTTTGGWGGCAGCTTTATTTGAATGTTGTGACGTCAGTAATCCTTCATATGACCTGTGGTTGGTTTGAAAACTGTACTGCAGCCGTTGTTTTGTCTTTTTGTTCTCCTTCAGCTGTTGCTCTTTTCTTCGCCTACTTTCCTCGCCTTTTCCAATTAAGGCTCTTTCACGGCGGTCCCGTCTGGCCCCCAGGAGAAAACTGTAAAGTTCTCCACGGTTGCTCCGCGTTGCCTCAGTCGATCTGTGATGAAAGCGTCGACTCCCCCTGAGAGAGTGGGCTCCCCCCGACCCCCCCCCCAGGCGTTTACATTGTTATTGAAATAAGAGACAGCCGTCGGCTTCTTTCTGCCCTTTTTGCTGCTCAGTGACGACAGAACTGATCATCCTTCTCTGTCTTTATTCTGAGCTGAACTCTTTATTTGTTAAAGAAATAAATCTAAAGATCAAACGTTAATATTTAGTCTTTATAAAATGTGTTAGCAGAAAATTCCTTTCGAATATAAAAATGGAGGCAGTAATAGTTCATTAAAATAAGAAAAGGTCAATTCTGTTAATTTAAATAGATCTTATTTAGGAAAACTAAGCCAAGATGCAGAAGAAGTCAACAAGTTTATAGAACAGCTGGAGCTCAGAAACCAGGTGATCAGCAGGTGAAGCTAACGGCTAACGCTAAACAGTCCAGACTCTGGATTTATCATCACTGTACATGTTGACAACAGAGCAGAAAAAAAGGACTGACGATGTAGAAATCATTAAAACTATTAACAATAATATTAACACAATTATTATTAATATTTTACAGTTTATATAATCTATCTAATGTTTTAAATAATGTCAGAAAAGCTGTTTGTGTTCTGGATTTATTAACAGAAGATAAACAGGAAAACGTCTCATTTTCAGCAGATTTGATCTTATTTAGCTCAATGTGATCTGAGCAGAACATAATGTAACAGTTTAAAATTAAAATAATCTGATAAAGTCCATGTAATCACTAATTAATTTTCTAACTGTTGACTGGTAAATATAAATATTATTATTTTTATGACAGTAAAAGAAATAATAAATATACTTTATTACAGCTGAAG